CCCGCGGCCTCGCGGAGCGGAGAGGCCAAGGCCATCCACGGCGCGCCACAGGGTCAGCAGGAGGAGCGCGGGGCGGGTGTGCATGGCCGGTCAGGGCTGGTACGTACAGTCGAGGCGTTGACCTAAGGAACCCTAAATAAGGAACGAGGCCCCTATTTTCCATAAGTTGAACTTCGATTTCGCATCGAAAACCCAAGGAAAATCCTAGGCAAGCTGCGAAACAATTAAGGAACGCGGAGCCCCTCCTCAACGAAAAGGGTTGCTTCTTCAGGGCCCCGCGTTGGGGAGGGGCTCCGCATTCCTTACGTGTTTCGCAGCTTGCCTCAGGCTTTCCTTATGTTTTCGACAGGACAGCGAAGGTTAACTTATGGAAAAAAGGGGCCTCGCGCCTTCGTTTGGGTTCCTTGGGCCAACGCCCCGACTGTAGGACAAGAAGCAAGCTGCATCCGCCCAAGCTTTCGGAAATCTCCGCGCGGCTGTCTCGGATCGGCGCTGGGCCCCCCCTCCCCAGGGGCGGCGCCTCTGGCGCCGCCCCGGGCGCGCGGAGCGCGCCAGGGAGGAGGGTCCAGCGCCGGTCCAAGAAACCCGCGACGACCTCCGAGAGCTTGTGTGAGGAGGAGGAGGAGGAGGAGGAGGAGGAGGAGGAGGAGGAGGAGGAGGAGGAGGAGGAGATGCTGCTTTTTCTTGTCCGAGTACGGTAGTGGGCCCATGCCTCCACGTGGAATGCTGCGGGAGGGCGCCGACCACGCGCCCGCACTGAGCCGAGCCGGACCCATTCGGGTGTTTGCCTCCGCGGGGGCAGCTCGCGTGGGGCGAGGAAAAGCGTGCGCCTGTCGTGCAGGCACTTGGGGCAGCGGAGGCAGCTCAGGGGCCGTTGAAGGGGCCTGCGTGGACAGGCGGAATTGACTGCACAGGATCCTGCCCTGCGAACCTCGATCCTCGATCCTACGTGCCCTTCTCCCGATCCTCGAACCCTCGATCCTCGAACCCTCGAACCTCGAACCCTCGATCCTCGATCCTGCCCTCGATCCTCGATCCTTTTAGGGTCACTGGCCTGCGCTCCGCGATCCTACGCGGACAGGCAGAGTTGACTACACAAGACACGCGGACATTCCGACGGCAACATGGCCTCCAACAAGGGTGGCTGCAACATGGCCTCCAACATGGCCTCTTCCCAGGACTGCAGAGGACACGACGTGCGATGCATAGGACACACGAGTACCCTTGATTTGGCAGGGTCGACCTACTAATCCGGGCCGACTGTAGTGCCCTCCCCCGCCCCTTGTCGCCCGCCCGACCCATCCTGTGCGCATGCAAGTCTGGGGCAGGGGCGGCGATGTTTTTCCGTGGCGCTCTGGAAGGAGAAGGGGTAATCCGCCCACGCTTCTGGGGGGGTGGCCCGCTCAGTCCGCACAGGAAGAGGCGCCGGGACCACCGGAAGAGGCGCCGGGATGGAGGAGATGAAAGGACGTGGGCGCTTGGCATTACCTCGTTTGGAATGGCGGCGGGGGCAAGGGTGGAGACATATCCTCCAGAAGTCTCCACAGGCACCCCGAACCCCCCAAGCACAACAATAGAAAACACCAACAGTGTCCTCCTCCTCCTCCTCCTCCTCCTCCTCCTCCTCCTCCTCCTCCTCCTCCCTAGCCTCCGCTTCCTCCTGCCCATTCTCCTCTCCTCCCCCCCTCCCCCGCTCAGTTGGTGTGACAGCTCGAGGTACCTTTGGTGCAGGCCGCACAGGCTTCCGACACCTCCGCGATCGCGCGACCAGTGACGTTGCTTGCAAAGTGAAACCCCAACGAGATGCCACCGGCGCCGGCCCCGCGGTTGGCCACAAGGCCCGTGGCGGTGGCTCTCTGCCGCCTGGGCTATGCAGCCCGGCGCAGCAGGCTGGTCCGAGGCGCCGATGTCGCCGTCATGGCGCGTCGTCTTCGTGCTCCCCTTCTGCCTGGCGCTGGCGCTGCGCCTCAGGCTGCTGCTGGCAGTGCTCTCTGGCCTGCCGATCGGCCACTTGTTGGCGTTGCTCTTCGGCCAGGCGGCGATGATGCCGCCGTACGTGATGAGCTCGTCGTGCCCGACCTGCACTGCAAGCAGGAGCTGGCGGCGGCCAAGCAGAGGGCTGCGTCGCGTTTCCCAGGTGTGAGGAGGGCGGCTTCTGCGCCATGGGGCAAATGCAAACCGACGACGGGGAAACGGGCAGCCGGCCTTCCCGCCCGCCGCGACAGGCGCAACGAGGAGGAGGAGGAGGAGGAGGAGGAGGAGGAGGAGGAGGAGGAGAAGGAGGAGGCGGAGGATGAGGATGCGGAGGAGGAGGAGAGAGGCGGAGGAGGAGTAGGAGGGAGGAGGAGTAGGAGGCGGAGGAGGAGGCGGAGGAGGAGGAGGCGCGGCGGAGAGGAGGAGAGACGGAGGAGGAGGAGGAGGAGGCGGAGGAGGAGGAGGGCGGAGGAGGCGGAGGAAGCGGCGGAGGCGGGAGGAGGCGAGGAGAGGAGGAGGAGGCGGAGAGGAGGAGGAGGAGGAGGAGGAGACAGAGGAGGAGGAGGAGGAGAAGGAGGAGGAGCCTGGAGCGGTGCCAAAGGATCGAACGACACTCGCGGCGAGGAGCGGGTTGCCGGGCCCGCGCCCCCGTTGGACCGCTGGTGGCCGCTGCTCCGAGCGACCTCGAGGACATCGGCTTCGACTCTGCGCTCGACGACGCCTCCTCGCGGGCGCCGAGGGTTTCGACCTCGCGCCCGCTCCTTGTCGTCGTCGTCGTCGTCGTCGTCGTCGTCGTCGTCGTCGTCGTCGTCGTCGTCGTCGTCGGAGAAGGAGGAGGAAGAGCAGGAGGAGGAGCAGGAGGAGGGGAGGAGGAGGACGAGGAAGATGAGGAGGAGATGGAGGAGGAGGAGAAAGGATGAGGAGGAGGAGGAGGAAGAGGAGGAGGAGGAGGAGGAGGAGGAGGAGGAGGAGGAGGAGGAGGAGGAGGAGGAGGGGAGGAGGGTGAGCAGCAGTGCCCTGCAGGGAGGCGACCGTGGGCGCGAGAGAACCCCACCGGGGCGGCCTGCGCGGAGGAGGCGAGCGGGCGGATCCGCGCCGCCAGTTCCCGCCCAGGGGAGGCATCGCGGCAGTCGGGGGCGCCGTGGCGGCCGCTCGGGCCCCGGCGCCTCGGCCGTCCAGCGCCTGCGCCCCCGCGCCCCGGGACTTGGGGGAGCACGCCTGGGGCTCCGCGGAGGAGGCTGGCCACGAGGGCGCCGCCGGGGCAGCGGCCGCGAGGCAGCTCCGGAGGAGGGCCCGCGCGCAGGGGCCCCGCGAAGCCCTCCCCTGGCTCGGCGAGGAGAGGACGACGAGAGCGTCGGCTCCAGCGCCGGACTGGGCGAGGGCCACTCCTTCGGCCAGGGCGAGGCCGACGGCGGCTCTGGCGACGACTCCTGCGGCCCGAGCGGGTCCGACGGCGCCTCCGAAGACGCCTCCGAGGACTCGGCGTCGGGCAAGGACGAGGAGGGGCACAGCTCCGGCCCCCAGCGAAGAGGTGGTGGTCCCGCCCGTGAGTCCGAGCGCTCGCTCCCTGTGCAGGGAGCCTGGCCGTGGTCGTCGAGAGCCAGGTTGGGGGCGCCCTCGTGCTTCTTTCTCGCTCGGTGGCTTCGGTCCGAAGGAGGCCAGGCTACCCCGAGTCGTTGAGGTTGCCCGCTGCTTCGCTCGGCAGGGAAGTGTCCCACCAGACCCAGACCCCCGACGTCATGATTTTTTCATGACGCGACCCCCAGAGGTCCGGACCTATTCGCCGGGACCGGTTTTTCATCCTGAGTTGTTTTCTGACGGTCCCGAGGGCCGGTAAGGGCCCCTCAGAGGGCGAAAATAGCGAAAAACCTCCCGTCGTGATTTTTTCATGACTCGAGGGGGTCTGGGGAGCAGGCCAGACCCGACGACTGTGCCCGCGGGCCTGCCCGCCGTGCTGGCCAGAGGGCTGGCGCGGCGCCGCGGGCCAGCCTCCTCGAGGGAGCTGCCCCCGCCCTGGCTCGGGCCACACGCCCCTGGGTTGCAAGGTACCGCCCCCCGTTCCCCCTCTCCGCCCCTCCCCGTCTTTGCCTCTCTCCGTTTCTGTTGGTTCCTTTCCTTCGTATCCTTCCTCCTCTTCCTCGGGGGTGGCTCCGAAGTCGTCGTGTCCGAGATGTTCCCTGTGGCTTGTGTTTCCAGCTCGATGACTTCCCATAGCCGCTCGGGGGTGGTACACTGCGCTCCAGTGGGTTTGGGGCGCCGCTGGGGGTGAGGCCACCTGCTGGCATCTCCTCCTCCCCCGTCCTGCAGGGCGCTGGCGGAGTGAGCAGCGAGCGAATCAGCAATTTTCGCAGGCTGGGCAATCCTCTTCGAGAATAGAGGCTGGCCGTGCCACTGCTCCTGCCCCGATTCCGGCCGACGGGCTGGCGGAGAAGGAGCGCCCAGGCGCGCCTTGGTGCTCGGGGGGGGGCGAGCGCAGCCCTCCTCACAAGTGGGGGGCCGCGACCTGTTCGCCCGCGGCGCACGCAGGCCAGCACCGAGGCCGTCCACTGACGCACGCCTGCTCCCGCCGCCGGCCTTTCCGCTCCTCCTCCTCCTCCTCCTCCTCCTCCTCCTCCTCCTCCTCCTGTTTCTTAAATGTAAGCGTCGCAAGCGATCGCGACGACAATATTTTCGTCGTTTTCGGAATGTGGAAGCCGCTTCCCAGCCCCAGGGCCGTCGAAGAAGGATGAAAAGCCAGCTCTCGGGAAAAGATCCACATCCTCGGGGGCCCAAGCTGGGACAAAAATACGACGTCGGAGGAGGGGGTGTCGTTGTCGTCGATGTCGTCCTCATCGTCATTGTCGTCCTGATCGTTCTCCTACGTTGCCTAACTTCGCGCATCGCGCCCCCCGATGCGCGGTTCGCCTCGCGCCCTCGCGCCAGCCCAGTGGACAAGGGCAGCTCTCGAGCCCGAGCCGTGACCCACGAAGCGCGAACACCCTGGCGCCCCCGCGAGCGACCTAACTTTACAGTCGGACTAGAGCAGGAGAAGGAGGAGGAGGAGGAAGCGGAGGAGGAGGAGGAGGAGGAGGAGGAGGAGAGGAGGAGGAAGAGAAGGAGGAGGAGAGAAGGAGGAGGAGGAGGAGGAGGAGGAGGAGGAGGAAGGGAGGAGGGGGGGAGGAGGAGGAGGGGAAGAGGAGGAGGAGGAGGAGGAGGAGGAGGTTGGGAGGAGGAGGAGGAGGTGGAGAGGAGAAGGAGGAGGAGACGAAGGAGGGGCAGAGGAGGAGGAGGAGGATGAGGAGGAGAGGAGGAGGTGGGAGGAGGAGGAGGATGAGGAGGTGGAAGAGGAGGAGGAGGAGGAGGAGGAGAGGAACGGGAGGGCAGGGAGGGGGCCCTGGCTCCGCAGGGGCCGTTGCATTTCTCGGCAGCGACTGCCGCCGCGCGCCGAGGCGACCGCACGCCGAGCCCGCGCCGCCCGCCGTGGCCCGCCGCGGCGGCGGCGCGCGGCGCCACCGCGCGGCGGCGGCGGCCAGCGGCACCACCTCTCGCGGCGGCGGGGCGGCGCTACCTCGGCGGCGGGGCTGCGAGGCAGCCCTCCGCGGCGGCGCCCCGCCCGCGCGGCCCAGCGGCCTCGCCGTCTGGCGCCAGGCGGGCCCAGCCGTCGGCGGCCGCTGGGGGCGGCGAGCTGGCGCGGACCGGGCTCGAGAGGGCGTCCAGCGCCAGCTCCTGCGGATGGGCCCGCCCTCTCTCCTGCCGAGCGCGATTTCACGCGCCGCGGTTCGCTGATCCATACCGAGCGTGCCTTTTCTGGTTTTGATTGGGTTTTGGTTCTGCGGCCTGCCAGGCATGAACTTCGGGCCAGCCTGGCCGCGCGCCACAAAGGGCCGGCCCACCCACGCCAGACGGACGATAACGAAGACGACGACGACGACGACGACGACGACGACGACGACGACGACGACGACGACGACGACGACGACGACGGACAATCTCAGATGGATCCTTGGCGAGGCAGGCGCTAGTGACCTTGGTGTCCACGACCCCGTTCAGCATCGGGCCCGCCGCGTGGTCCAGCGTACTGTCCGGGCCCTCGCCCGCCTCTTGCTGCCACCTCGGGAAGACGCCAGTTGCTGACTAACCTCTGTTTTGTTCCTTCTCATTCTCATCCTCCATATTTTGCTGCTCTGCCGCCTAGCAGGCCACCCCCCACACCTGGGGGGCCCATCCTGCCCATCAACAACAATACAACATCTGCCTCCCTCATTCCAACACGGACGATGTGTCGTCGCAGTGAACACCGCGCGCGCGCCCAATCTGGAGGGTCCATCCTACCTCATCAAAAACAGACTACCTACCCAACGACCCCGACCCAACCCGAAAACCCGAATTTGACCCGAATTTCGGGTTGGGGGGGGTGCGGGTTCCATGTATGTTTTTCCCATATCCCCCTCCCCCCCACACTGGAAGTGGAGGGCGACTTGAGGCCTTCGGGTTGGGCTGGGGTGGCTTCGTGGGTGGTGAAAGCAACACAGGCTGTACGCTTTCCCTCTCAGTATGGGCGTTGTGCCGTCGCCTTCGGCAGCATGCGTGGCCAGAGCGCGAAGCGGGGTGCGCGCCCTTCGCGGAGGTCGACGTGTCGCTGTTTGCCTCTTCGCCGCGATCGCCCCTCTCGCTCGGGCACGGCACGCTGCTCGCTCGCCAATTCGCCCGCGCGCAGATGAAGATGATGATGATGATGATGATGATGATGATGATGATGATGATGATGATGATGATGATGATGATGATGATGATGATGATGATGATGATGGTGATGATGATGATGATGGTGATGGTGATGGTGATGGTGATGATGATGATGGTGATGATGATGATGATGATGATGATGATGATGATGATGATGATGATGATGATGATGATGATGATGATGATGATGATGATGATGATGCGAGGAGGAGGAGGAGGGAGGAGGAGGAGGATGAGGAGGAGGAGCCCAGCGTACGCAAAGGAGGAGGAGGTGGAGGAGGAGGAGGAGAACCTGAGAGCGGCGTCCCGCGCCGGCGCGGCGCATATGTCTCAGTCGCCGCGTCGTTGGGGGCGGGGCCGCGCGCGAGCGCGCGACCCGTCGCCCTCGCTTGAACTGAGCTCCGTGCGCCGTTCGCCTGGCAGCGAGGCCCTGCGCGGGCGATCGCGCGAGAGCGGCCACGGCAGCGCGGGCCCGCGGGAGAGCGGGCGACGTGGCGTCCTCGCCCAAGCTGGGGGGCAGCGATAGGGGGGGGGGGGACTGGCAGAGGAGGAGGAGGAGGAGGCAGGAGGAGGCAGGAGGAGGAGGAGGAGGAGGAGGAGGAGGAGGAGGAGGAGGAGGAGGAGGAGGAGGAGGAGGAGGACTGGCATAGGGGGGGGGAAATGCATCGACCTGGAATCGGCGATGGGCCCCGGATGGTGAATACGCACCTTCCTGCGCGGCTTGGGGATATCGGGCCCCTATCGGCGATCGATGGGCGATTGGGGGTCGATGCATCCCCTCCTATGCCTATCCCCCTATCGTTGCCCCTGACAAGCACCGCGCAGCTGGTGTGGGACAGTGACAATGCCGTGCGGACGCCCCAGACATCCGGCTGCTTCCACTTCTTCGGCGCGTGGGCCCCGGAGGTCTGGACCACTTCCCCAGGACCGGCTTCTCGTCCTGAGGCGTGTCTTTTGACGGCTCCCCGCCCACCGCGTGTACATGTCGGCACACCCCTCACGCGTCTCGTGGTCCCACAGGGACCTCCACCGAAGGCCGCCATGGCAAGGTACCTGCGGCCCCCCCCCCGAGGCCGAAAACGGCCCCAAACCCGGCGCCCCGATTTCGTCGAAACGTCTTCGCCGAGCTCACAGGGCAGTTGGCTGCCCGAGGGGAGGCAAAAAGCCGAGCCCTCGCCACGGCGCCACGCAGAGGCTGTCGGAGGCGCCGCTCCCACCCCGCGGTGTGCTCCCCCCCCCCCCGCCGGGTCGTCGTGCGCGGGGCCGTCCGCGGGCACCTTCCGCTCGCTGGGTGCGCGCTTGCTCGAAACCCAGGGCCAACTTCTGCCGCCGCTGGCTCTGTCGGCTTCTGGGCGGTCTGAGCCTTCTCCTCCAATTCCCTGCTGGTCCAGCTGATCCCCTATTCCTCCTCCTCCTCCTCCTCCTCCGCCTCCTCCTCCTCCTCCTCCTCCTCCTCCACCTCCTCCTCCTCCTCCCTCCTCCTCCTCCTCCTCCTCCTCCTCCTCCTCCTCCTCCTCCACCACTCTCCGCCTCATCCTGCCCGTCCTCCGGCCTCCGCCCTCCGCCTTTTTCTCTCCGCCCTTCTCCTCCTCCTCCTCCTCCTCCTCCTCCTCCTCCTCCTCCTCCTCCTCCTCCTTCTCTTCCCTCCTCCTCCTCCTCCTCCTCCTCCTCCTCCTCCTCCTCCGCCTCCTCCTCCTCCTTCTCTTCCTCCTCCCTTCGCCGTTCTCCTCCCTCCTCCTCCCCCTCCTCATCCTCCTCCCACCTCCTCCCTCCTCCTCCTCCTCCTCCTCCTCCTCCTCCTCCTCCTCCTCCTCGTCCTCGTCCTCGTGCTCCTCCTTCTCCTCGTGCTCCTCCTCATCGTGCTCATCTTCCTCCTCCATTGCCCTTTTTCTCCTGCCCATCCCCTCTTCTTCCCCCTCCTCCCGCCCCGAGAGGCCGCTCTGTGGGCTGAGGGCGGCGGTGTGGGCAGGCACACCAGCCATGATGGCCGGGCTGTCTCGATGGTTCGCGACGCCTGGATATGAACTCTGTGCTGTCCTTTCGCTATCGAGCTATACTTCGGGCAGAGCTCGAGCTGAACAGTGTTCTTCGCGTTCGTTTCGCGTTCGCTGTGCCTTCGTTTTCCCACGAAATCGCCAAAACACCGCTTAGCTCGAGCCCCGATTTCGGGCCTCGGGCACGATCCAGGCACACCTGCGAGGCGCAGCTGCTGGAACGCATCCCAAGGCAGAACAACGTCGGGGAGTCGACGACAACGTCCGAACTTTTCATTCGCGGTGACGTTGGAGACGAGGCGTGCAACGAAGGATCCCCTGCGCCCCTGCGTGTGGGCCCGGCTGGTCTCTCCTCTCGGCTTCACGGTTTCACGCAGAGGGTGCAGGTCGAGCAAGCTCAGCATACACCCGAGGAGGATTTTAAAACAAGAGTGGAGGGGGCGGAACACCTCTCCCAGACCCCCGACGTAATGAATTGTTCAGTACGTCGACCCCAGAGTTCTCGACCCCTTCCCCAAGACCGGTTTGTCATCCTGAATCGTTTTCTGACGCGCCCGAGGCCCGGTGAGGGCCCCCTGAGGCCGAAAATGGCGAAAAACCTCCCGTCATGATTTTTTCATTGCTCGAGGGGGTCCTCGAAAAAATATCGAGGCGGAAGTTTTTCGCAGGTTTTGGCCTCTCGGGGCCCTCGCCGGGCCTCGGGGCCGTCAAAAAACGACTCGGGACGAAAAACCGGTCCCGGGGAAGTGGTCGGGAGGTCGGGGGCCCGCGTCTCAGAAAAAATCGAGACGTCGGATGTCTGGGAGACCATCCCCCAAAAAAAACGCCCTAAGTGACCCCGGAGCCTCCCCAGGGCGCCGCCGAGACCCCCAAACCTGTCCAAAGCCTGGAGCCAAGCCAGAGAGCCGGTGTCGTGTTTTTTTGTCCAAGGCGGGGTCCCCAAACGTCTCGACGCATTCGCCAGGACTGGTCTTGCCTCCTGCGGCGTCCTCTGATGGCCCCGGGGCCCGGCGAGGGCCCCGGGAGGCCGAAAGCTGCGAAACGCCTCCGTCCTGATCTCCCAGACATCCGACGTCTCGATTTTTTCGAGACGCGGGCCCCTGGCCTCCCGACCACTTCCCTGGAACCGGTTTTTCGTCCCGAGTCGTTTTTTGACGGCCCCGAGGCCCGGCGAGGGCCCCGAGAGGCCAAAAACTATCAGAAACCTCTGCCTCGATTTTTTCGAGGCGCCCGATGTCTGGGGTGGCCTCGCGGGCAGGAGCTCGCCTGCACCCACCGCTCCGCCCCAGGCCTCCGGGGGGGCAGACCTCCAGAGAGGCGGCGCGTCCCCATAGATAGGCGTCCCCAGTGGCACGGGGCCAGAGCCAGACCTCCTCGAGTAATGAAAAAATCATGACGGGAGGTTTTTCGCCTTTCTTGGCGTGCGCGGCAAGCGGCGTGCGCTGTGCTTTCGCACCTTCGCCTCTGGTCCCCCTGGGCGGCGGGGCCTGCTCCTCTGCAGCATCTCCGCGCGCAGGTCCGCGAGGGAGGCCACCTGCAGCGCCTGAGGCCGTGCGCGGATGCTGCTGCGGGGGCGCTGGGGCTTCCCCAGACCCAGACCCCCTCGAGCAATGAAAGAATCATGACGGGAAGTTTTTCGCCATTTTCGGCCTCTGGGGGCCCTCACCGGGCCTCGGGAGCGTCAAAAAACGACTCGGGATGACAAACCGGTCCTGGGGAAGGGGTCGGGAACTCTGGGGTCGACGTAATGAAAAATTCATTACGTCGGGGGTCTGGGGACATCCGACGTCTCGATTTTTTCGAGACGCGGGCGCCCGACCTCCCGACCACTTCCCTGGGACCGGTTTTTCATCCCGAGTCGTTTTTTGATGGCCCCGAGGCCCGGCGAGGGCCCGAGAGGCCAACAACTACGAAAAACCTCTGTCTCGATTTTTTTCGAGACGCCCGATGTCTGGGTCTGCCCGGCCTGGCCGCGGCGGCGAGGAAGCTCATCGGGACGCCGGGGAGGAGGGTGACAACGGGGTGCCCAAAGATCCGACGCATTGAAAAAATCGAGGCGGAGGTTTTTCGCAGATTTCGGCCCCTATAGGGGCCCTCGCCGGGACCCAGGACCGTCAGAAAACGACTCAGGATGAAAGACCGGTCCTGGGGAGTGGGTCGAGACTTCCGGGGACCCCGCATGCCAAAAATCACGGCGTCGGATCTCTGGGTGGGCGGGAGGACTGAGGGGAGGAGGGCAGCGGCAGCGGCAGCGGCAGCTCCTCCAACTCATGCTGCTTCCTCCTCATCCCTCCTCCCCTTCCTCCGCCTCTTCTCATTCCTCCTCCTCCTCGTTATCCTTCCCTTCTCTGTCATCATACACATGTTTGTATCTATATAAATGATATGGTATGTTTGTTTTGTCTCGTCTTTTATCTCTCTCTCTCTGTCTATCTGTCGGCTTGTCTGTCAGGGTGTCTCTCTCACCCTCTCTCTCTCTCTCTTTCCGTCTCTATCTCTCTGTCTCTACATATGTATTTCCCTCTCTCTCTGCATCTCTGTCTCTCTCTGTCTGCCTGTCTCTCTCTCTCTCTCTATCTCTGTGTCTCTCTCTCAGGCTCTCTTTCTCTCTCTCTATCGGTCTCTCTCGGTCTCTCTCGGTCTCTCTCTCTCTCTCTCTCTCTTTTTCTCTCCCTCTCTCTGTCTCACTCTCTCGGTGTCTCTGTCTCCGTATGTCCGTCTCTCTCTCTCTCTCTCTCTATATATAACCCGCTTATTACTGTTATTGTTGTCGTTATTGCTATTGTGTTTTCTTGCTCTTCTGAATCGTCTGTCCTCCCGAATTACTTCTCCTTGTCACACCCCCGACGTGTCCGTAGGGCAGGCCATGCGTCTCGCCGGATACCTCCTCACCATGTATGATCATGAGGATTGAACAGCAGTTGCAGCAATAGGTGGGTGGTTTCAAAATGGATGGAGGGGGCGTGTTCAAAATGGAGCTCTTGCCATAGCACCGTGCACGCTCGTACTAAAAGTTTGCGGTGGCTGCAAGGATGAAGGGGGGTGGTCTTCAAAATTGGGCTACCGCCTTAGCGCTGCTCACATTCGTCCTGCCGGTTTGTACCAGCTGCATGGGTGGAAGGCAGTTCCATTCAGAATCATGCTCTCGCCTTGGCACCGTGCACACTCGTCTTTAAAACCCTGAAGCGGCTGCAAGCATGGAGGGCGCACCATAAGATTCTCGCTTCAGCGTCGCGCGCATGCGGCCTCACACGTTTGCAAGTGTGTATGTATTCGTATGTATGCCTGACGTCCCAGGAATTGTGTCGTGGCGTGGTTTAGGATTGTCAGGGCGAAACAATCACGTTAATCCGCTGCGTCGCATCCACACGAACGGTGTTCCTGCACAGTTTACGAGTGTCAGGACCCACCAGTAACGTTGACTTGCGGCGTTGACGCCCCAGGACTGGCACTCTGGCATAATTGGAGATTCTCAGACAGTTGCCTTCCAATGGGGCGCTCCTCGCAATGAGCAAAGTTTTTGTAGAAACGCATGAAGAGGGAACTTGGAGGGAGGGTTGATCGCAACATCTTTGACGCGTCTTGGGTTTGCACTGGTCCTTCTCCTCCTCCTCCTTCTCCTCCTCCTCCTCCTTCTCCTCCTTCTCCTCCTCCTCCTCCTCCTCCTCCTCCTCTGAGCGCCGTCTCAGCGAACATGCTGGCGGCGCGCGGGCTGCGGGACGCGCTGAACAACCCGCCGTCCAGCCCCCTGGCCGCGGGCCCGCCCGAGGAGGCCCAGAAGCCCGCCCGCCGCAGGTGCGCGGTCATGTCCTGCGCGGGGTCTCAATGACTACCTACCTACCAGACCACCCCAACCCAACCCGAAGACCCGAATTTCGGGTTGGGGGGGGGGTATGGGCTCCATGTGTGTTTTTTCGATGTTCCCGGACCCCCCCCCCACTGGAAATGGAGGGCAAGTTGAGGCCTTCGGGTTGGGTTGGGGTGGTTTGGTGGGTGGTGACTCAAGGCGTCCGACGATGGGCGGGCCAGCCGGGCACAGCCCAGAGACGCAAGGGCCTGTGCTGTCTGAGCAGCCTGCGGCGCGCCCCGCGCGCAGCGGCCGCAGGCCCCCTGCGCCCTCGGAGGGGCCCTCGCTCTGCCGGCCGAGCGGGCGACGACGGGGGGAGAGGGAGCACACGCCTCCGACCTGCGGGCCTGCGGGTGCCTCCTCCTCCTCCTCCTCCTCCTCCTCCTCCTCCTCCTCCTCCTCCTCCTCCTCCTCCTCCCATTGGGGGGTCGCCAGCGACGATCAGGCGCGGCACACGGAGGAGGCGAAGCGTGGGCGGAAGGGGGAGCGCAGGATGGCGAAGTGGCGGGCGCTCTCGTCGGGCCCGGGGGCGGGAGGGGTGCCCTCCAGCTGCCCGCGCCTCGCCGAGGGCGTTCCAGCGCCGCCCCGGTCGTCCCCAGCGGCCGCCGGAGGAGGAGGAGGAGGAGGAGGAGGAGGAGGAGGAGGAGGAGGAGGAGAAGGAGGAGGAGGAGGAGAAGGAGGAGGAGGGCCCGCGCGGGCCCGAGAGCCACGGCCGCCCGGACCTTCGACGCCGCGCGTCTTCTCCATCGGAGCGCTGCTCTTCGGCTTCGGCCTCGGGGGGGCCGCGTGCAGGCCCCGGGGCCAGCCAGAGACGGGGCGGGCAGCTGCTGACTACCTACCAGACCACCCCAACCCAACCCGAAGACCCGAATTTCGGGTTGGGGGGGGGGTAAGGGTTCCACATGTGTTTTTTCGATGTTTCCCGGACCCCCCCCCCACTAGAAATCGAGGCTAAATCTGAGCCTTCGGGTTGGGTTGGGGTGGTTTGGTGGGTGGTGAACTGCCCTCCGGGGGAAAAGGGTCAGACCTCTGGGGCCGCAGGTGGAAGAGCACACACCGCTGGCTGATCTCTTGGGCGCGCCCGCCCGCCGAGGGTGCGCAGCCGTGTTCCGCGCGGGGTCTTGGGACGCTGGCGCAGAGCGAGAAAAAAACGGCACGAGCATAAGCTGTTGGACTTTCGGAGTCCGCGCGGGTTTCTCGGATCGGCGCTGGACCCCCCCCCCCTCTCCTTCGCGGGGAGCGCGCCAGGCGCGGCGCCTCGTAGATCGCCCCCCCCCTTCTCTCGCCACGCTAAGGCGCGTGTATGCCCTCCCCCCCCCCCTCCTGAGGCGACCCGGGGCTCACATGGGGCAGTCGACGGCTCTCCGAGAATGTCAAGGACCGCCGAGGGAGGCCACAGAGAACGCTCAGACCTGCCAAGACTGCCTCAAGAGTCGCCCAGAAGCCCCCAGGAGGATCCCACGAGGCAGGCTTCCAATACACAGAAGAGAGAGCCAAGAGGCATACCGGGAATGCCTAACTGAATTAAGCGTACACCATGCGCAGTGTGCGTCCCCCAGCCGTCTCGTCGTTCCAAAAATGCAGTCGACGAGCCAAACAAACCAAACGATCCTAGCGAGTACCCTAAAACGCCCCCCCCCTCCCAAACGGTCCAGGACGCCCCAGGGGGGCCTCGGGACGGCCCAGGAGAGGGCCTGGACATCCCAAGAGAGCCCCCAAGAGAGCCAACGAAGGCAGGCCATCCAAGACATCCCCACCCCACGGTCCAGGACGCCCCAGAGGGGCCTCAGAACGGCGCAGGAGAGGGCCCGCACATCCCAAGAGAGCCCCCAAGAGGGCCAACGAAGGCCGGGCATCCAAGAAAGCCCCAAGGGACCGCGCAGACGGCCGCGAGGGGCCCCAGGCGGCGCCAGCACGGCACCAAGACGGCTCAGGCTGGCCCCACACGGGCCCAAGACAGCCCCAGGACGACCAGGAATGCCTCATGCTGGAGGCTTGGAAACCAACACCAACACCAAACATGCGGGAGCGTCCAAGGGGGGAGGATGATCATAGTATTTGGTGTCGGCGTTGAAGTTTCGGCCACCTAGGAAGCTCGAGTATTACCACCATCACCGAAATCGGGATCATCTTCCCTCGGTAGAGGCACAGCGCCGATATCGGTGTTGGTGACAGCCTCTAGGCCTCCGGTCATGAGCCTCTCGAAGAATGGAGACGGAGAGGTGCCACATCTTACGGACATTAGCACGGTGGCGCAATCTGCCGCGGTCACCTGGATAAGCAGGATGGCGCTAGACGTAAAGCACGTGCAGGTTCTAATAGGTAATTGGAGATGGACCGAATATGGTGGCTAGGGGGCGAATCTCGCAGGCTGCTTCTGGCAGCCACCGCGTCTCTTTCGTTGAGGAACACCATGAAGAGCCTCGCTGAGAGCGGACTGCAAATGCAGTGCGCATTTAAACTGTCGTACAAGCCAGTTGGCTGTACAAGCCCAATCGGATCATTCTTCTGAAGGGGCTCGCTAATTGCGAATATGGCCCAACGCAAGAATACTTCCCCCCTCTGCATGATGTGCACCAACCGGTCTGAAGTGCAACCTTGGCACGGCATCCCGAATCGTTGTCCCCAGGGTGGTACTGTCCTACGTCGAACAGACCGTTGGAGGGCTGATGCACGTCGCAGACAGGCCGCCCAGATCGGGAGCAACGGGTCGAATCTGACGATGCGGATTGTAAGCTGCCAGTGATGCTCCCCATCCCATTCTCCACTCCATTGCTCCAGGGCGCGGCTCCACGGAAATGGGCTGCAGGTGCGGCGCAGCAACGACGACAAGAACATGCGTTTCTGAATCGCCGAATACGCTGATCCATTTGGCGGCCACTTAGCCATATGATTTGCAGAATTGGCCCACGGGGGCTCTTCTTGTGCGCCAGCGTCGCGGAAAGGCGGCGGTCACTACCTACGCTCATGATGCAGAAGAGGCGCTCGTCTACAAGGGATCCGCCACCGTGCCTCTGGGCACGGAGTGGGCATGCACTCAGGTCTTTTTCATTGTACTATAAGCCTCAATCTAATTACTCCCGAGGAATACTTTAGGGACCTGGAGCTCAAATTGCTAAATCTCCCGGGGATTGGCGCCGCTTGTCGAGGGCTTCCGCGTCTTGTCGCATGACTTTTTCGGACCCAAGAGCCCCAAGACAGGCAAAGAGGGCCCCAAGATGGTCCAAGAGGGCCTCGAGACGCCTAAAGATCACTCCAAGACGCCCAAAATGGTCCCAAGACGGTCCAAGAGGCCTCCAAGCAAGAGGCGTCCAAGCGGTCTCCCGCGAAGGCCACGGAAGACCACGATGTTTGGTCTTCTCGCCTTTTCGGCTTGCCGACGCTCCGAGACAGCCCAAGAGGCCCCCAATATCGCCCCAAGAGGCGCCCAAGACGGCCCAAGGGGGCCCCAAGACAGTCCCAAGAGGGGGACCACGAACCGACAGCTCGAGCTTGTCGCCCCGACAGGGCCACGGGAGGCCCCAAGAGCCCCCCCAAGACGAACCCAAGAGGTCATCTCGGGCCCCCGAGAGGCCCGGAAGACGCCCCACGAGACCCAAACCGGCCCCCAGGAGGCCCAAGAGGCCCCCCGGGAGAGGCCTCCCGCGACATCCGAACGAACACTCAAAAGACCAATTGACCCACAACCCAGGCACGGTGGCGGGATTGGCCGAAGGCCATGAGATCCGCCGCCCCCTGCTTGCAGGGGTGCACGGCGTGCTGGACGGTTCAGGTTTTGGTTTTGGTTTTTTTTCTAAAAGAACTCCCCAGTGGGCTTCGGCCCGTCCCGCCGGCCACCCGCAAATTTCCGAAAATCCGTCTGTCAATGCCCAAAAACTGCCGTTTCGCTCGGGACATCCTCAAAAAATCGCGAAGATGGCCCAAGATGGCCTCCAAGTCCGCCCGAGATGGTCCAAGACGGCCTCCAAAACGGCCCAAGAGAGTCCAAGACGGCCCAAGACGGCCCAAGAGGCCCCCCAGAGGCCTCCCAGACGGCCCAAGAGGCCTCCAAGAGGTCCTCCAGGAGAGTCCGAAGAGGCCAAAATCATTGATTTTCCTTGGTTTTTGAAGGATTTTGGCATTTGCGCCTTTTCGGCTCTCCGACGGCTCAAGACGGCCCAAGAAGCCCCCAAGATCGCCCAAGAGGCCCCCAAGAGAGCCCCATGATGGCCCAAGTGGCCTCCAAGATGGCCCCTAGAGGGCCCCAAGAGGGCCCAAGAGGCCTCCAACACGCCCAAGATGGCCTCCAAGACGCCCAAGATGGCCCAAGACGGCCCTGGAGCATTCCAAGCGGGCCCCAAGTCGGCCCATAGAGGCCCCCCAAACGGCTTCCGACGGCTTCAGACGTGCCAGGAACCCACCAAGATGGCCGAAGTTGGCTCGAAGCTGGCCCGAGACGGCCCAAAAAGCCCCAAAGATCGCCCAAAGCTTGCCCAAGAGGCCTCCAAGACGGCCAAGATGACCTTCAAGATGCCCACGTGTTCCCCGAAGGCTTTCCAAACCGATTCGGGGAACACGTGGTCCGATAGCTTGGCAGGTCTGGCCTCAACGTTCGGCCACATAGGCGCTTCCAAAAAGGCAGGGGGCGGCGGTGATTCGCCGTAGGCGTCTTCGATCCGCCGCCCCCTGTTGATTCATCACAGGGGTGCCTGGCGCGCTGAACCCTCTAGGTTTTGGTTTTGGTTCTTTTTCCAAAAGAACTCTCCCAGTGGGTTTCGGCCCAAGACGGCTCCAAGATGGCCTCCAAGATGCCTCCAAAACGGCCAGGATGGCCTCCAAGACGGCTAAGATGGCTTTAAGATGCCTCCAAGACGGCCCAAGATGTACCCAAGACGGCCTAAGATAGCCTCAAGATGGCCCACGAGGCCCCCCAGAGGTCTCCCAGACGGCCCAAGAGGCCTCCAAGAGGTCCTCCAGGAGG